ATCCGTGGATCCCTTTGGATCCCTCCTGGATCCATCGGGGTCCATCACGTGACAACAACCAAATGAAATCCATGGATCGCTTAGCTGGCCTAAGCAATCCCTATTTGCTATAAGAAACCTGGATGTGCCTGTCGAGGGTTGCGCCTCTTTATTATGACAAGTATCACGTGAGCATGTGATTCGTGACACCTAGGACCTCTATAACTATATCCTAAACGTTTTTAAGATTATTAATTAGTATTCCTAGAACTATTATTAAATCCTTGAATTTCTTATCCTCTTCTTCTATAAATTTTAATATAGCGTCTTTTTATATAAATATAGTAAACTTATTATCTAAATAGTAACTAAAGAAACGCTACTTTAAGTATAACTTAATAATCTATTCTAAGGCCTCTATAAATAAGTTAAATATAAAAGGAGCTATTACTAGACTAAAAGGAAGAACTATATAAATATACTTTATACCTTTCTACTAAAATCTTAGTATTTAGTATTTATTATATATATAAAGCTATAGGAACTATTCTAAAAGTATTTAATATATTATACTTAAAGATTATATAGCCTTAGCTTATCTTTTATACTAAATCTAAAACCTCTTTAAACTTATTATATTATAAATAGATATATTTATCTAATATATTTAAACTAACTAAGTTCTCTTTAGGAAAGAATAAGTAATAGATTTAGTAGTAGTTACTATTTAGTTTTAGTTTTAGTATAAATCCTAGTAGTAATACTATAAAAGGTTTATCTTCTATAAGATCTACTATCTATACTAGCCTACTTTATAGATTCTTCTTAATTTTAGAGGATAATAACTTAGGGAATTTATAAGCTAAAAATAAATTTAAGAATATTTAATAGATCTCTAAGCCTTTATAGCTAATAAAAGTACTATATTATAGTATTTAATTAATCATGTTTAAAAAAACCGGGTTAGAATATTAGTATAAAAGCTTGTTTTATACTAAGCGATTTAAGAGAAATAGTAGGTTACGTAAAGAAGACTTTAATATATCTACGATTCAAAAAGGTATTAGTATATTTATAGATAAAGGTATAAGAGAATAAGTATAAGATAATAAAAATTAGTATAATAACGTAGAATTATTTATAATAGGCTATACTATTAACGAAACTTATACTCTTATACTAATACTTTAACCCTTTTTCTCTTTCTTATCCTTCTTTATATTCTTGCTACTACTACTACTCTTATCTATAGTACTATCGCGACTTAGATAAATATAAGAATATAATAGGTTATTATAACTATTACTATAAGTTTCCTTAAAATACTCTTATATTAATATATCCTTATCTTTAGAGACGTTACCCTTAGCTAGACTAGAACCTCTACTACTACTAGAGTTATATCTAGTATAATAGTACTAGTTAATCTATATCTTAGGAATCTCTTATAAAATAAGACCTTATAATCTACTATAGGTAATAACTCGTTTATATTAAAACAAAGCTAGATATATAACCTTTATCTAAATCTAAACCTCTACTAATTATATAATAGTATTAAAGTAATTACTTAATTATAGTAGAAGGCTAGCTTATAGAAATAAGAGTAAGAATAACTAGATTATATATACTATATAAATTGTGACGGTTCTGACCGCCACTACGCTACAGACCAGCCCCTGGCTGGAACCCTGCGGCAACCATGCTCCAGACCAGTCCCTGGCTGGAACTCGGCTAAGCAGGTGCGCTTGGCACACCTCCTGTATATAAGAGCCTCCAGCTCCTGAGCTTCTGTCCTTTCTTCTCTTCACTCCTCAGCTTGGAATCTTCGTATAGACAGTTCCACAGTGTCAATCTCACCACTCGTGATACCTGACGTATTCGTGCACTCTTGCGCGGTCCATCAGCTGTGCGTGTCGTCACATAAGTATTAAAATAATAAGTCTATTTTTAAGGATTATTACTATATAGCTTAATAAACTTTCTCTCTTTTATCTTCTGGGTCTTAGACTCTCTATTAAATAAGATATTACCTTTATTATCCTAGAATAAGGAAGCGCTAGAATCTAATAAGTAGAGGTAGGTAACTTTAAAAGTACCTTTTATAATCTAAAGGATATATTTATAATACTCTAGAGGTAAATAATCTATAACTTATATAATAGAAGGGGGGAACGTACTATAATTAATAGTTATTTATTCTAAGTCTAATATCTAATTTAGGAGGGTAGGTATGTGACGGTTCTGACCGTCACGTGCCATTCATATCACGTGGCTTCCTTAGCGAGCCACATTGTATTTAGACTCAAGCTCTCACGAGCTCTCCTCTTCTCCTCAGCTTAGAATCTTCGAATAGACAGTTCTACGATTCCATAACCTACACCTTGGAGGCTCCTTGAGCAACACATCGTACGTGTCGTCACAAGGTAAGCCTAATAGATTACTTTAAATAAGACTACTTAATTAGTTCTATTATTATAAATTTTAGTAGAAGGGACCTATATTTTAGGGTTAAGTTTACTATATACCTAAACTAGCTATATACGAATTACCCTATTAAGGTAATAGAGTAGGGGCTAGGGCTACCTAATTTTAGTATATAATAGCCGGTTGTCTTTATAGACTAAGGGCTCTACTTATTATAGGTCTACTATATATAATCGGATTACTATAAACGTCTATACTCTAGCGTTTATACGGATTATTACTTATACTTATATATCTATATCCTTGTTATTATTAAACCGTATTATCCTAATAAATTATATCTAGACAAGGTTAATCTAATCCGTGTATACTAATAATAAGGGTATATTCTCTTATAGAACGTAGTATTTTAAACTTAAGTAATACTAGATCCTAGAGGATTATTCTTAGGGTAAAAACCTTAGCGAGTCTCTAGTTGTTTAATAGTAGGGGAGGTAGATCTTCTTTAAGGAGTTAGTAACTAGCGACCTTAGCGATAAGCTCTTACTACTCTTACTATAGTATTAATTACTTCTCTTATAATATCTTCTTTATTATATTAGGCTTATAACTCTACCCTTGCTGTTTCGCGAGCTTCTTTAGCTAAGTGGTTCCTTACTCCTATTAGAGTTCGCTAATTATAAAGGTCTTATTCTATACGTATAAACGCGCGATTACCTACTCTAGTAAGATTTATAGTACGAGCTCTTTACGATATACGTTTTAGAGGTTTCGGAGGTATAATTAAGGCTTATTATTTTAGATTAACTAGATTTAAAAGAGCTAATAATCGTACTATGTAGAACAATAAATGTGGTATTATTAATAGAGGAGTATACTCGTATATAGGATATTTATCCTACCGAGTTGCTTAGTAAGCACTCCCTCATTGACAATAAACCACTGCTATATAATAATTTTAGTTACACAAGGCTTTCAAATTAATGAAGAATTATAACCGATGTGTGCCCAGAGTAATGACCGCGTCTCTACACATGATATTTCTTGGTACAAGATACAGGGAAACACATTGTAAGAAGAGATAAACTCCTCTAAACACTCCATCCATTTCTCTTCCTGGTCCTGCTGATTCTCCACTTCTTCCTAAGCCACAGTAACCCCATCTTCATAACTTCATACACCTAATTAAAGTCCATAAATCTAACAAACAAACTAATTATAAACCTCAACACTGCAATCGCCGATGACTTTATCCACATCGTCTTCAAGAGGTATAGAAAGCTTCTCTGACAATAGCTTGCTATTTAGGAGGACATTTATCTACAAGGGCTAATTGACTCGAGGGCTTGCTTAAGGTTCGTTCGCATACTCTCGAGACAAGACCTTGGGGTTTATTCTACATCCCGTTTTTCAAATACCACACCCCTAACGACGGCCGAGGTTAAAGCTTATATACATTGAGTTAAGCCAAAAGCCACAGTGGCACTTTCCATAACTGCAATTTTCACAAAACGTTTTCGTCGACGTTGCGATGCTATTAATTAATTTTGCAAGAGAAACATCCGAAAAGGGGATCAAGGGGGAACAGGGAAATAACCTCGCCAACCTGCCATCCTTTCTCTGCGAATGCATCTGGTAGAGATGACGTCCTAGCTAGATTTAGATGATTTAATTGTCTCTACTGTATACTCGAACTTTATCTTGATCTAAGAGTCTTTCAGCTAGCCTCTGTAACTTTCCGCAACTCGGCCTCGACCTCGCGGATATACGATGTAATGCAAACCTACTTTCAAGGGTGTGTTCCCTTCTAGCCATCCATGTCCTAGACACAAGAAGAAGTATATATGTACAAGTGAGCTCCTCCATTCTACAAGCTCTTCATCATCACCTCCGACTGTTGTTAATCTACACCTACACCTACATCCAAGCAACACACCACCAACACCAACATGCGCTTCACAACATCCAATTTCCTCCTCGCCGCCCTTGCGACGCTATCCAGCGCTGTCAACGTCTCTGCGGAGTCGTGTTCTACTAACGCGGACTGTGATCTTTTCTGTCTACATGTCAATCCACTTTGCTAGTAAGTACTGTACATCTAGCGAAAGAAAAAAAGTTATATAGAACTTATCACTAATACAAGATCTACCATAGTTATGGAGAGTGTCAATGCACCTGATACGCGAACTCGATATGTATCAACGATCTTGATGTTGTACCGTACTTGCCTCCGTTACTCTACAGGGCTAGTCAGGTGGAGAAAGATCTGCTGGTTTTGTATTGATATGTCTATAGCCATACAAACGTACCGAGAGACCCTGTCGAGTTACCTCAGGGCCTGTGTAGCTGCCAGTTTTGTTCCGTGTATAAAATGTGCAAATTTTATGAAAGTTCGTTTGGATGGTTGCAAAAGTTTTTCAGCCCCTGTGCATACCTATCAATTCACATTGGAACGCCCCTGGTTTTACAGTAGCATAATCCCCTCTATTCTGCCCGCCTAACAATGTCTCTCTCCTGCAGTATTCCCCACTAGGTCACTCAGTGCACACGCCACCCCCCGTCCCCTTTCCCATCGCGCCTCCACGTCACGCTCACAGATTAGCCGAGTTTTACTTTCTATTACGAAGTAGTGAGGACTCTGTAAGAGGAACACTATGAAGCTCTCTAAATGCACCAAGCCCTTCTTGTCTATATTAAAACGAGTGTGATCTGAACCTCTTTAATCGACACACGAATTTCTGAACGTGAATAGGCCAGACCCTGACGCAGAATTTCCGAGGTTGAGTCACAGGAAAGACTCAATATATGGTAAGGCCAAAATATGAAGTAGGTTGTAGGTTGATGAAATTTGATCATTTTTCAGAAGGTTCCTCTATGCCCCAGCACCATAGCTCTTGACCCGGCTGAAAAAGAACGCCTTGTCGTTCCTCAAAGTGAATTCAGCCGTATCATCTGTCAAAATATTATGACTCCAAAAGCCTTGCCAAGTCAATTTCCGGTTTCGAGCTGCTTTTCCAGTACTTCGCAAGGAGAGTTGCATCCGGTAGAAATACTTCTTGCTCGCTCCCTCTGTCTCCACATATACATCCCCTTCGGCATCTTTCATGTTGGCCTCGGGATTATCTGTGACATTTGAGAGTCTCCAGCGCCCACGCAAAGCATTCTGCATTACAGCCGAGGGGAGATGCGATGACCCGCCTCCGCGGTGGGCCTCCTGAAGTTCTTTCGTTAGGTAACGTACGACATCCGCTGGCTCATCGGTGGTAAGCAGACTGATGACGGTCCCGTCACGAAAAAACCGCAGGTAACGATAGTATGTTACTATGTGGATTGGACTATGCCAAGTGACTTGTGTTGCAGAGCCCTGTCCAGGCCTCATATAATTGACCGTGCTGATATAACATCCATTGAAGCAAATTCTAGGACGAAGACGGTACATCTGAAGCCACGAAGATGCGTACGCGCTATAAAGCAGCTCTGTGGTCTCCTCCTTAGTGAGAGGGATAGGTGAGGCTTCTTTAGGTGTCTCAGACTCGACAATAGCGAGATCCTGGAGTTCCAGTATTTCATCATCCAAAGGACCGCCCAAAACTTCTCTCTGCCACTCAAAATGCATTCCTCCAAATCCGGACTCCGGTCCTATACAAACTCTCTTCCAGATCTGTTCCTCTGTCAACACCATAAACGCAAAATGCTTACAAACCTGCGCAAGTCGAACGAAAGAGGCCACGTCTGAGACTGCTACCTCTTCGAAGACTTGAACTAGAATCTCTCTAGGCAAAGAAGACACCGGGCATGGCGGTGCAGCCATCCCTTCAATCAATGGTGGAGCAGGCTGGATTGACACACCCGCGCACCTGGCAGTGAGCTCTTTCAAGGTTTGTGGGGGCCCGTGGAGGGAGTGGTGGGCAGGATTGGGAACGGTAGCAGAGGCATTGGAAGGGTTGGGGTTGGTGGGCTTCGATGGGAACGAGGAGGGAGGGAAGTGCTTGTTCTTGTATTTCTTGTCCACAGCGTGGTCCATCTACGACAATGTTAACTTTGCCTGCCTGGAAACTCTGTAGCTCTTACTCGAAAAGCCTTGCGGTAGAGGTTGAGACTGTCCCCCAGACTCCCTTGGTTTTCCCTCTCTACCGCTGCTTCGTAATGTTCAAGAGCCGACTGAGGCTCTTTGCGCAGAGGACCATCCCCGCCATGAACGTCATCTTCTACTCTCCCTCCAGGCAGTGCTGCAATCGATTGAAAGGTTTCATGGTCATCGTCGTCGTTTAAGGGTTTCGGTGCCTTGCCAGCGGAAGACTGGGATACGGGAGGAAATTTGAGAGGCCCTCTTGTTGGAGCTTTTGGAGCTTTAGAACCTGCTTGAGCTTTCGCAGATACCTCCTCTCGCCACTGCTGTCGAAATCGCTCGAGCTCGGGATTTGGGTCTTCCATGGATTGGGATCTTGTAGGTGACTTTTTGGCAGTTTACGATTTGATATGATCTATGAAGGAAGAAGAGTACAAAAGGGGAAGTGAGTGAATCCAATATAAATAAGTCGTCTGGGAGTACGTATCCAATCATCTACCAGTACCCGTACCTACGGTGTGACTGCGTCGGTGGCAGATCGCGGTCACTGCTACGAGTAATCGGATCCTTACCAGATGGATGCAGGTGCTGAGGTGCTGAGGTGCAGCCCACCCAAACCCTGCCATTTCTTGGCCCCATTGGCCCCCGCGCCTTACAGCCGTCATCCCGCGAATCGGAGATAACGACGGCGCTTGCCTTCTGGCTAGTGCTCGAAAATTCGGTATCCCGAATGCTTAAAGAAGCTTTCCTGCTTTTGACAGACGCATCATCGACTTCACCGTGGAAGTAACGACCCCAAATGTAGGGACAAAGGTGTTTAGGAAACTGCTATATTCAAAAAAACCCAATCCCCTCTCGGTCACCCCCCAACAACTCCTCTAGCACCTGTGTCGTCGATGTCCAGTTCCTGGGATCGACATTCCCCATCATCCGCCACCGGCTTTGATACTTTTGAGGGGGAAAAACCTTGGGCTGCTCAATTCAACAACCAAGTCAACGGAGATGAGACACACGCACTATCCACAATGGCTACGAATATCGACAATGACGATGTCGACACCGAAATCACCGCCGGTCAAAAGATGCTGTCTGCCATGTCTGGCAGTTTACTAACATCACTCCTAGGTAAGTCGCTTTACCTCCCTTTGGCTAGATCTATACACTAACATGTTCAACTCCAGCCACCCCTCTTGACGTAGTTCGGGTTCGACAGCAGTCTCAGCCCACGCCATCACCTCTTACAACTATCGCAAAGCCTGCCGCAAAATCATCACGTCCCTTCAGCACCCTCCCACCGAATCTAGGGGTTACAGCATGCTGTCGAGAAGTCTTCTTCAATAATGGCGAATACTGCTTGGCGGCTCCCAGAATTGGGGAAATCAGTCGGTCCTCCGCAGAATGTATTGTGGAAGAAACGGAGAGGAAGACGATCAATTCAACCTTTGATGGACTTCGAAAAATCGCTCGGAATGAAGGAATTACAACGCTATGGAGAGGCCTTTCACCAACATTGGTCATGACAGTGCCAGCCAATATTATATACTTTACGGGATACGATTGGTTACGGTATAATGACAAGAGTCCCATCAAAAGGTTGGCTTCGAATAATTATTCTCCCCTCATTTCAGGAGCAACTGCCAGAATCTTCGCCGCTGGTATAGTCAGCCCAATAGAAATGTTCCGAACGAGAATGCAGGCAAGTCGCGCAACTAGTGGTACTCATTTTTCAGAAACCTTGCAAGCAATGGGGGAGATGGTCAAGAGCAATGGATACACATCATTGTGGCGCGGGTTCACTCTGACACTTTGGCGCGACGTACCCTTCTCAGGTCTATACTGGTGGGGATACGAAAGTATTAGAGGGGCTTTGACAGAAATGCGCGAACGAAGCCGCGGGAGAAGTGTGGAGAGGGGTGATCCAAGAGCTCGGGCTAGATCTAGAACGAGATCGCAAAGCAGAGAAAACCACAGGAATACTTTTACCGACAGTTTCTTAGCTGGAGCAACCTCTGGGGCCGTTGCATCTTTCGTGACCATGCCATTTGACGTTGGGAAGACTCGGCGACAAGTTTTTGTGGATTCTGCTCCTGTAGCGGCCGGTGTGAAGAAAGCATTGGCACCGGAAGAAAGACCAATGCCGAGATTTCTTTTGCACATATTTCGAGAAGAAGGCTTTGCTGGGTTATGGAGGGGATGGATCCCACGAACACTCAAAACTGCACCGGCATGTGCAATTATGATCAGTTCTTACGAAGTTGGGAAGAGGGCTTTCCGAGGCGTTAACGAGAAACGAGAGCGAAATGCTGGGGCTGTATGATACCAAAAATTCTCACATCTGGACCGATGAGGAGAGGCGTTCAACGGGATTTGAGTTTCAAAAATAGCGAATTGGGTGCTGCTTTTAGAATGTACTGTACTATTAGATGATAGACGCTTGCCAAATTGTTAATATATTAATTACATGCTTCTGAGTTTTGGTTTGAGTTCTCTTGTAAAGATGGGGGTTTACTCAAGGAGCTGCCAGCCTACACATCCAGCAGCTCAGTCTGTACTGTACTCAAATACTTGATAGGTTTAATAGTCAGTGCGTCTTTCCTTTGCGCTGTCGCTTAAGGTCAGCTCCACTGCAATGATGTAAAAAATTAAGTTGCTTGATTCGCCGCCACTAACGCCTCGACGCCTTGACCCTCTGACTTCGCGTACTACACCCCTGCACAACGCGAATTACGCGACACTCCACCAGAGCTGGACGCCTGGTACCTTTTCTTCTCCACACACCACTTCTCCAAATCCCCCACATGAACCATCGACTTTACCTGAACTTTGGAAAACGATCAATTACACACTCCACTCCATACAAAACCCTAATCGCACAGAAAATCCACGCCATGTCACTAAAACGCAAGGCTGGCGACTCCATATCGTCAGATCAAAAAAAACCCAAGGCAAATGCTTCGATCACGTCGTTCTTCGGACAACCCAAACCTGTCGCAACGTCGAATGGTGCCAATGCTCCTGCTGCGCCGGCAGTGAAGTTTGACAAGGAGGCTTGGGTCAAGGGATTGACGGATGAGCAAAGGGATTTGTTGAAATTGGAGATTGAGACTTTGGATGTGAGTTGGTTGAAGGAATTGAAGGACGAGGTTACGAGTAAAGAGTTCTTGCAATTGAAGAGATTCTTGAAGAAGGAATTGGACGCAAAGCAAGTTGTCTATCCTGCGATGAAAGATGTCTATTCTTGGTTTGTTTGCCCCTCACTTTCTAGCACAATTGAGTGAGTACTGATATTTTGGGTAATAGGTCAAGACATACGCCATTGAATACAGTCAAGGCCGTCATAGTAGGACAGGACCCTTACCACGGTCCCAACCAGGCTCATGGTTTGTGTTTCTCGATCCGTCCACCTACGCCCGCCCCACCTTCTCTCAAAAATATCTACAAGGCCCTACAACGAGATTACCCCTCCTTCTCGCCACCACCGAATAACGGCGGTCTTCTTACTACGTGGGCGGATCGCGGGGTCCTCCTCCTCAATACTTGTCTCACAGTTCGAGCAGCCGACGCAAATTCTCATTCCAACCGAGGATGGGAACGATTCACACAAAAAGTCATCGATACCGTAGCCGCGAAGAGGACTCGGGGTGTGGTATTCTTGGCGTGGGGTTCTCCAGCTGGAAAGAGGGTCCAAAAGATTGATAGGAAGAGGCATTTGGTTTTGAACAGTGTGCATCCTAGTCCGTTGAGTGCGAACCGAGGGGGTTGGTTCGATTGTGGACATTTTAAGAAGACGAATGAGTGGTTGGTGGAGAAGTATGGGGAGGGTAGTGAGATTGATTGGAATTTGCATGGAGATGCGAAGGCTAGAGCTGAAGAGATTAAGAAGAAGGATCAAGAGGTGAAAGCACTTGCTGAGGCAAAAGCTAAGAAAGAGGCTGGGGAGAAGGCGAAGAAGGATAAGGAGGTTGCGGAGACCTTGAAGGCTATGGAGGCTATTGAGGATCTGGATGATGACGATGATGATGACGATAAAGTTTGAGGTACGACTGGCCTTGGTTTTGAATTGTTGGATGATTGTCATGTGTATCTGATATACGACGGAAAGGAGTTCTTTGGGCGGTTGGAGAAAGGTCTTGAGTTTGATACTTGGCCGTTGGGTGTATCAATTGCAAGACAGGCTCAGCTATGTAAGATTACAGTAAAGATTTCCGTAAACGAAAATACTTCAAGAATGACGGCGTAGGATACCTTCTTTTATACAGGATATGCTCAGCTGAAGAACTCTTTTTCATTATTTCTTTCTTTTTTTACTGCTCCATCTGGGTTTCCTAAAACAATTAAACTTCATTATCCCAAATCACCTTGATTCACAAAGACGTATCAATCTGAATGATGCCAAATCGCTCGTATAATCTTTCAGTTGTAAAAGACTTCTAGGGTGATATTGTTCCAATCTTAACCACTTCTCATACACCTGAGCTCTAACAATATCACGCTAAAGACCTTGTAACTAAAATAATTCTACTCACATCCATAGAGTTGGGAATCATTCTTAATTTTTTTGTTCCCTGTGTAACCCACAGGGTAAGGTGAAGAATATATGAGATATTTGACATTTGAGTTACTTGTGCTAGAATTTTGGTATATAGAAAAAATGACTTTTGGTAATGTAGTGTATAGAGAGTATAGAGGAATGATCTAACTAGGTTTCTTATAGTACATGTCTGATTCCCTGGTTTTGGCAGCTTTTATAGTACTTGGATTCTTGGAAGTATGGGGATATATACTACTCTAGATTGTTTCGGCTGATTCAGGACTACATACGTGCGAGGCGGCGGTGGTGTAGCGGAGTTGGAACTTGGAGGATGATATGGGGTAAGATTGCTGAATGCGTATCATAGGCGATATCTATCCCGGAGGCACTTGAGATTCAGGAAGGGAGCGAGCACCAGCGAGTGAGAAAGTTTATCCGGGTTAAAAGATATGGCCTGGGTTTGAAGTGGAATGTGAACGTCGTTGGGGTATATATCGTCTTCCTTTCTTTTTCTTTTGGCAGTGCTCCTAAGGAACGAACCATAACTATTCTAAGTAGAAATTATATTATATAACAGTTCAGCTCTGTTCATAGCTCCTGCTACAGAAAAATCTTGAGAAGGAACAATGACTTAGTAGGAGAGTAATGGGATTTCTGAGGGCTGTGGATTGTAAGCTAAATGAAAAGGTAAGATTACGGGTATAAAACTCCTTAGTTGGAGTGAAAGGATTCTATTTTCACATCTGAAAAATGTACAGGATTTGAGTTTATGTTCTGCGAGTTTCCGAGGGTGTATTGTAAGTGTGATTTTGATGCAGCATAGGAAGTGAGGGGAAGACTGGTATTTATTTCAAAATCTAAACTACACCTATGGAAGTGTGTTAACGATATAGCGATTCATGAATCAGACGTTACTTTCACATTCGACAACAAATAAACTATCAACAGTAAACCCTCATCCATCTCAACCCACCCAACACAAACATCTTTATCCCCCCCCGTCTCCTTAACCTACTATCCACCTCCACAATACTCTACCTTTCGTTCTATTTGTATATGCTTGAAGGGGATACTAGATTGGACTTGGGGAACTCCGTATATTTACATTGACTATCTGGTGAACCGGGCTGTTACTTTCTTGGTTTGTGGATGAGGGTATTTATGCATGTTGATGAGGTGGAGTTTTGTTGGTCAATGGAGATGGTAGGTTGGGATTTGTGTTTTGAGAAGGATAGAGTAAAATTGTGATTGAAGGAGAGGGTTGTGGGAGGGGGGTTGAAGAGTGTTGCGGAAGTTGTTGTTTGTGGAGTTTTTGTGTTTGGAAGATGGAATTCTTTCTGAGTTTAAGCTAGAGCGTGAGGTAAAGTGTAGAATGTAATAAAGTCTACCATAGATATATGATATACCAAGTATCAGCCACACAACTAAGAGTCAATGTAGATCTTACAAGCGAGGAAGTTGCAAGCAAAAAGGCCTCTATTAACACAAAAACATGCCCGATTAGAAGATACACAACAATGAAGTGATAAATATAACAGAAATTGATACCCTAATAGCTATCTCACCATAAGATCCACAATACCCCACAAAGCACACTGATCATCTCAAACTCCCAACTCCCAAGACCATAGAATCAGGAAAGAAACCCACAAAACGCAAATAATACATTCGATTAAGTAAAGGAACCACGTTTGTGTAGTTTAGCTACGCTACGATATTTCACCACCTAGCGCCAGAATGTAGATACTCACTTTTGAAGAAAATTCTCGTCTGATTCACGCTCACTCTTCTCATAGAAATTTACTCTACTACGCGGAGTAAGGACTTTGAATATACAATTTAGATTCGACAGCTACACACTCGAGAATAAGCGAAGGTTGTGTTTGTTTTCGAGGGAAGGCTGACGTTGGTATATGTATAAGTGGCATATAAAGCTAAATTTTCAGTACTTGGAGAAATGTTTTTTGTGCTTAGGATTAGTCTTTACCAGCGTTTGAAGAGAGGTTCACAGCCAAAGCATATGGTTAGTCTGGGTGGGTGGCGTTTAGGTTGCAGCTTCCAGAGGTAATATGGGGATTTATACTATTCTGAGATGGGGTTTTTGTTTTTGATATCTTGGATGGGGGAATATGATCTGTACTTGGTCGCTACTGATCCTGCAGTTGTATTTCTCCAGTTACTGGGGTATATATCGAACAAGAGTAGTGGAATGCCAGGGTATCTAGAATAATAGAATAAGAAATATATTAAACGAACTAAAGAGTTAATAACTAAGGGAGCGAACGAGAACTACATATATAATACTTGTTGGCTTCAGGGCATATAGTAGTTAAGTCTTTATAGTAAGCACATATCACTATAAGGACTTAATTCTTATATACTCTGAAGCCAACAAGTAGTGTCTCCTATGAAGATTATACGAGAGACCGAGACCCAAATAAGACCTGTTCCACCTTGGTGTATATGGCGGAAACAAATGTCAGTATAAACCTGACAACAATATATATATATATATAACCTTTGACCTTGGATAGTTAGTAAAGCCTGTGTTGCTGCTGATATTCTTAGCTCGAGGATGAGAGTGGTTTGATGGTGAGATATTCGTTCTTAAATCTGGGGGAAGGGACTGGTTTTTTGATTCCAGTCCACTGAGTAATTGGCTCTCCCATCTCACTACAGGGTTACCAAAACAGAGGGTGAATGTCCCGTTAATCCCACTCTTCGCCATGTGGATAGAAGAGAACTGTCAAGTCGATTGGATTCACTCTCTCATAATAAAATAAACAATCTCCCTTTCATTAACCACACGCCCTCGATGCCCACGTGGACGTCATAAAAGTGAGACCATGAAGCCTATTCACCGCCAGCACAGAGGCAGTCATCTCTATATAACGCCCCCCTCGCCTAAAGTTGAAGCAGCATATACCCCGTGAACAACTTTGTACACGAAAGCTCTGTGGAGGGTCTGCGATATCGGAACTCGCTCCTTTTCTTCCCCGACGTGGGACATCCCCGCGTGGAGTTGCTATGCATACAGCGCCGTTTGATCACCTCTACCGTTGCATCGAAACAATGCTTGAGTCGAAATAGAGTATTCTTGCAGTGAGAGAAGGGCCTAATTGACTTTTCGCAAACGAAATGGAAGTTTTGAGGAAGGATGAACTTGAAAGGTTACTGGAGCGTGTTGAACGGCTGGAGAGGGATGGGATGTATTTTGGGAAACGTCTTTGATGGAAAAGAAAGTATGAAACTGAAACTGACAGCAAAGAGAAGCCTTGAGAAGCACAAGCCCTGGATGTGGGGTGGGAAGGTTTTTACTCTATTTCAACACCACCTCGGGACAAAGAAAGTCGCACCGCAGGTCTTGGTCTTCAGGCACGAATGCGGGTGTTAGATAGATCTTTCATCTGCCGGTCGTGTCATTTTGTGGTAATTACAAAGTAACTGGAGATCTGAAATACCGAGGGGATATGTATGGTTTATGACGGAAGGGAGAAAGAGGAGATTATTGATGGTGTAGGTGATAGCTTGGCTCTTGGGTCTTGACGCATGAATAGTGGCTGCAGCCCACATGGAGGCTCCTATAAGCCATGAACATGCTGCAACATTGGGCTCGAGCACTGAACCGCCTTGAGTGGTTTTCCTGAGAGCGTATTCGTTTCTTTCTGGCTACTTATATCCGTAGTCTGATGTCTGCGGTACAAAATTCCGGGACTCCGTAGTGTTGTCTCGATTGCTGCAGTTCTGGTGAGGGCGAGTACTGCAATATGTTCATGCGAAATTCATGGACGGGAAGGGAGACGGGAGACGGAGTTGGTGTAGGTAGCGAGGTACAGGAGTTGGGTATCTGTTGTAAGTCGTTGGGAATTATGGGGTTGGTAGCGTATGACCAGGTAGCCGTGATAGACTGATAGGAGGAGAGGGTTCTATCAAAGTATGTCCAGCAGGAAGGGGTATTTATATTTGATCGACAATAATTCCAGCATGGTTAGTGTAGAGGGAAAAGACCACGATAGTTGGTTGAGTGGCCCATAGGTCCTAGCCAAGCTTGCAATGACTTGTTTACAGGCCGAAAAGAGGCGAAATCTGAGTAATAGAGTACCTGGGTAACTTACTGGGACTAGTAGTGGTGTGCTGGCAGTCGTTGGCAGCAGGAGGCTTGCAGCTTGCAGCTTGCGCCTAAAGAGGGAGCTCGTACCTTTTTTTGCTGCGTGCTGCAATATGCTGCAATCGAGCGCTGGCGGACCAATAGGCGAGGGCAATTTAGACAGAGGCAGACAGAGGTAGACAGGGGTTCGCCTATGTTGTTGGTGGTGAGTCGAGAGCAGTGGGTGTGAGTACTTGGTACCCGTACCCGTACGGAGCGTGGGCAGAGGATGCGATACCTCGATGGTCCTGGAATTAAAAAAGTCATATCAGAAGTTCTATGGATTTCCCATCTCCACGAGCGCTCCCCAACTTCCTCCCCCCTTTCGACCAGATATCTCCGTACTCCGTATCCCGTACCGAGACTGTACTATTCATCGCCTTACTTGACCCATTGGGCCGTCTCATGAATCTCAACGGCGAGCTCGGAAGATCTCAATTTGTTTGAGATCCCCTAATTTCCCCAAACTTTTATCTACCTAGACTCTAGACCACCCGCACCGCACCTATCACCGGCACCAACCCCATCATCACTCCGTCTCTCGCCGGGCACCAGAACCAGCACCAGTGCTCATATTCAACGCACGCAGCACGCAGTAGCACTGGCAGGCAAGGCAGTCTTAGGTCTAGCTAATCTCCAATCAGTAGTAGTGCCCCGCCTCAACACCATCACCATCATCATCACCATCTTTTCTGATACGTCAAGTATTGAGCCTGGCGTGCGATACTCAAAACTCAACTCTGCCAGATTCAGCCTCACCGTCCTGCTCTGCCGTCCTGTCCCTGACGGCGGGATTGCCTTCTTTGGCGCTGCGTTGGTGTTGATCACACTGCACTGCACAGCAGCTGCAGCATTATTAGAGGAACCACCGTGCGGTCCAAATCTCCCTACGGCCCCTGAATCCACTTCGAGCGGCGATAAACTTTTAGATCGTGCGGACCGTACCAGCCCAATTCTCTTTTCCCTGGTTCATACAATCCAACAGATCCAGTCAACACAACTTCAAGGTCAGAGATATCCATCCTCAGCTCAGACTGTGCGAACTCGCATGTCATTCACTACGACAACGTCAACCATTCGCTCCTTATCTCGCGCCCATAAACCAGCAACTCGCTGCTGCTGCGTGCCTGCGACCTATAATTAAAACGACCCATTTCCCCCGAGCACCGAATGCTTAATACCTAGACCGTCAACGCAAACATATCCGCCATGGTGGGCTTTTTCTCGAGAAAGAAGGGCAAGGACGGTCCTGCAAAGACGTCCAAGAATAAAAAAGGGCAACAGCCAGAAGTCGAGGCTGCGCCGCCGCCACCTCGATGGGAAGACGCGTGGACACGAACAAGCGTCGATCCGGAGGAGGTACAAGAGCTGTTGAGAGGCTGTACAATTGAATTGAAGTCCAGAGGTACGATGAGGATGGAGAAGCGCTCTCGCTCCGATTATGCATGGGACCATTCCTATGTTTGCTAGGGGTAACACAGGCTAATCGTTCCTTTCAGCCCTTGATATGCCATTTCTGCTGCTCCCCTTCCGACCAACATCTAATCCTAGCGCTGCGCGTACTTTCATTCGAAATTTCTTCGATCGTGGCCAATTATATGGCGACCTGCTCTTGCAGGAGTTGCGATTAACAGAGCCAATGGTGAAGTTCAATGGCTGTTGGTAGAAAACAACGAATACTAACAAAGAACAGGTTCTATGCAGCGTCATAAAATGGTGTTGGAGTAGATTACCTGGTGGAGTCGTCGGTTATGAGGCATATGAAATGTTCAAGGTTGGCGAATATGGTTGGTAAAATCCTGTTGGTGGGAAATATTTGAGTACTAACTGAATTTTGAAGATTCCAACATGGCTAGAGATTCTTTTGCGATTTTTATACCCCTCAGTGTGGACACCGATGCGCGTACTAAAATTATTTTTGATTTCTTCGACCTCCTTGCAGCGATTGCGGCACATTCCAAGCTGAACGGATTTGGTGGAAGAAAATTGTCCAGATTAGCAGGGTGGTGGGCTTTTGAGCATAACGATGGAGGCAATGGATTTGAAGGAGGCTACAAGAGTTGGCTACGGTAAAATCACACCCCACATGCTATCAAATCCTAATAATACTGACTTACGGATAGTGCTGCTGACGCCTCAAGTCATTTGTTCTTCGCATATCTACGCTCCTTGTCACCCGAATCTGTAAAGGGCATGAATGGTATTTCTAACCTCCCCATGTCCCTTCAAAAGTTGGTCCAGGAGACAGAATATCCACCGCAACGGCCATCGTTACTGCAAACGCGGACCACCAAGGTCATTATGATTGTAGATTCTGTATCGCCAACACCATTCGCTCTTTTGCGCCGAGCCAATCACTTCGAATACAGAGATGACGACCGGGCGCTGCAAGAATTCGCTGAATACGAGGATCCTGTGAAAGCACTTACTGATGAGTGCCGCCGAGTCCTCAAATCGATTGCATCGGCGAATCAATCACAAGCATCAAATGCAAAAGAGTCAACTGGGTTGCGTGATGCGTCATGGTCCAGATTTGAAGATATTGGATTTTCCGGCGGTCTTGATGTTCAGGATGATGACGATGAGAGTAGTTTTATGAAGAAGCCACGCCAGCAAGGATTAAGGACGACACCTCACCCAAGAAATGCGGGATTGAATCGTCCGACTACCCCTTCTTGGGCGGATTTCTTATCCGTTGGGTTCGTTGACGAGTCGAAGAATGGACCTGCTCCGTTGTTACTACCGCCAGACAAGATCCTTCCCCCAATCAATACTCGTGGACACAGCTCACAATCGGCGGCGCCTAGACTAGAATCCAATTCAAACCTTGAACCTGGTGAGTTGGCGAGTATCAATCGATTCGATTTAGATGATTCCTTCTGGTGGGTTTGGATGAGCAGTTTGGCTGGTGAAGAAAGCTCGGTACGCAAAGCTGCCTTTGGGCGATGTGCTCTAATTGAAACCGTCATTCGTGGAGGCAAATGGCTCGTCATGGAAGAAATGGTCAAGGGAGCTGCACCGGATCCAGCGGAAGGCGCATATATCGCGGAGAAGAAGAGCTTTTGGAGTCGAAACAAGAAGACAAAAGCGGCCCGACGAAAATCAACAGGCAAACAACCGCTGGAGCAGAACCCTGCACTGCAACCTAACCCGATGAATCAAAACGAAGGCACCAGCAAAATTAGCATTGGACCGGATCAACATGCACGTATTCAGGCAGCGGCCATCCAACTGCAACAAAGGCAACGTCTAATGGAAGCTGAACAGCAACAAGGTATTCGACGAGGACGATTTGACAACGACATGATGTCACAAAAGACAGCAAGCGTATTTACTTTGCAGCCTGTTATTATGAGCGAAGCTTCGCCCGCGATGAAATGGGCCAATAAATATGACAAGGATGCCATTAGAGACGCATATCTGAAAAATAGAGATCACGGCCGCGGACTTGCTCAGGCAACCATACAAAGGAACGGGGACAGTTTACGCGAAGTTTCCGAATCAGAGACCTCGAGAGAAAGAAACCTTCCAGCTATTCCTAGTTCATCACAGGGTCCTGCTGTTCCTTCAAAGTCACCACCATCCCCAGAACCAGTTGCTGCGGCACCACCAACTCCTCACCCACGTGAAGAGGAACAAGTTCAAGCAGAACAAGCAGCGGATGTTGCTCTCCCACAAAGAAATCGTACACCTGTCGGTGCTTCAACACAATCCCCTATGCCAACACCTCCAGCAACTCGCGTTGAGCAAAGTATGGATAGTGTCAGACCCTCCATGGACCACGGTGGTTCAAGCCCTGAGAGCAAGAAGCACAACAAGTTGGAGAAGAAAAAGAAGGACGCTGCTGGCGGCGGAGGTGGTTTCAGAAAGATATTTGGTCGCAACAAAAAAGAGAGCAAGCCACCATCTGCCTCTCAGAATGGAAACAACCAAGCCAGTGCCAGTGCCAGTCTTCAAGCACCAACATCAGGTGGCGGACTTGGAAGAAGGTTATCAAACATGCGTAAGAAGCCAGCGGTAATCTCCGCCCCAATACCAATAGCTCCTGTCAGTCAACAGCAACCTTCGGACGATGACATTACACCAGTTGCATCTCCTCATCCTGAGCAACAGCAGCAGCAATTTGAGAGAGCTTATGAACCATCTGTTGATACCAACGATGAACAAGAGGCCCACCAGGCATTCTCCAAATTTGATCAAGGGCCAATGGACGATGTTCCAGCTCTTATTCCTGAGGAATCTCCAAAGACTAGCCTGGACGAGGTCGCTCCTCCTCCAGTCCCCGGATCACGTGATTCCGATGATAATTCTATGCCACTGACCAAAGAGACCTCGCCTCAACCAGATAGATGGGCTCAAATTAGAAAGAATGCAGCAGACCGAGCAGCCGCTCGACAAAGTGAGGAGCAAAGCCGAGGTGGATACAGCCAGAAGACTGATGGAGACGATGGAGAGACCAGTGGAGAAGAGAGTAAGTCGAATTGATTCCCTCTAAATTTGGATACTAACACACAATAGCAATCGAGTCACGAGTAGCCAGAATCAAGGCTCGTGTGGCCGAGCTCACCGGCAACATGGAGCAAGGTGCAGGAAGTCCTACCACTCCACCTGTCCGCAGTGCAAGATACTAGAAATCGAATCCGCAAACCTAGACACCACAACACTCAAAATCTTGTTCCACCATCTTGAGGATTCATCCTTTCTCGACGACCTCGAAACAACCTATGTTTATTTTTCCGATTTTTTTCCTGGAAACTAACAAAAATGCCATCATCTTGTACTTTGCTATTGTATGTCTGGCTTTGCGAGAGTTGCATTGGCGCAGGATGCTATTTTGTTTTTGTTTTTTCCGCTTGTTCTTTTTTATTTAATTCCACGTAGACTACGTTTGTTTACGCGCTTCTTCTTGAGATACCAAATACAGATTGCTAGCGATCTTTCTTCTTTGGCTTCGGGCTTCTTTTGTTTTTATGTTCTTTCCGAGTTACAGTGGGGGGCAGAGATGGAGAATCAAGTGGTGAGGGGGAAGAATTGTAGGAGATGATGATTCGAAGAATGGATGGGAAAGACGAGGATGGATCATCAATTTCCTTACTCCATTGCGAGTTCAATGGATGGGAGCGCGAGCAGAGAAGAGAGGTCGTACATTTAGATACCATTGGTGCTGCTGCCCTATTTCGTGTTGTATTTCTTGATGGGGGTTGTGGGGTGGTAATGGGATGAATCTATGTTGATTTTAGATTGGTGTTTCTCGTAGCCCTTTTTCTTGAAAAGTGAAGTCGTGATAGTATGTGTGTTCAGAGTAATGATCGCATCTCTTACTAATGCCCGGTTGTCACCATTTGGATCGTTGTTTCATGTCATCTCATTAGTGACTTGGAGGAGTTACTTGACCAATAGCTGCTGTCGCTTATTAGTGAATAAATCCACTGAAAAAGCCTTGAAGCCTGGGGAAACTCGCCAGATGTAGTAAGCGAGAGTAAAAAGGGGAAGACAAGCGCTGGAAGAATTTAGGTAATCGAGGCTTCGGCTGGCCTATCAGATGAGTGTGCCTCCGTCTGTCTCCACTCTAGTCGTGCTTCTTCGTAATACACGTAGCTGATCGGCCGGCCTATGAGGCGGAATCGCGGAGCTTTATGACTTCTCTACTCGCAACTGAAGATGTATAAAGTCTGCTGCTCGACATATTGCTGCTTGGCTTATATGATAAGTGCGAGTCTATGTCTTTCTCTGATGTTGTGACTACACAACCTCCTGCATGCAATGCGATCGCAAGTGTTTCAGGTATCGTCAGGTTGGTTGATTTACCCTCGAGAGTATCATCCAATTGCACGGGTTTGGAAAGATCTCTAATAAGGTCGCTCAAAGTTTACAAAGTGATATCGACAATGTCAGAGAGGCGTGTTGGAAACAGGTTAGAATGTTGATGATGCGATATCATTTCAAAAGTCAGGGAGGATTACACCTCCATAATTACGCAGAAACCACCTCACCAACAATCGACAGAGCAAGGAAACGATGGACCGGTCCTTCAAGGACGACGAACAGGGGAAAGGATAACTGGGACCTTCGGAGATGGTAGAATCAATCTTTCGCGCCACGAAATTTATGAAATCTACTGGCTTCGCCAAGCGAAACGACACATCACCGTTCGTTTCTAGTAGATGACTTTTTTGAAGACAGCCAGGAATGGGTAAGAGCTGTGTTGAGATACTGGCTTCTAGGTGGGGCGGGTAACAAGCGATCTCGACGAATGGTGGGGTTGATGGTGTGGGGAGATGTCATTCTACACGAGTGGTTTTTGAGGATCATCTTCCGTTTCCTGTCACTGAGCTGGAAAAGGGGAGGTTTCCACAGAACATGGGATTGAAGACTTTGGTGAGAGATAATATAATATTGCTGATGATGCTTTGGAGGATGGGATGTTGTGGAATTCTGGGCACTCGGTGAGAAGTCTGGTATATTGATAGAAGAGGAGGAAATAAACATACTCTGGATAAGTGGAGAAGTATGTAAATATTTTGAGCAGTATGTGAGGAAAGGATTACGTTGGTCTTTGTTTTGTCAATCTGATACAGTTATCCTAACGTGTAGGTTGGGCCAGGGGATACGGAAAGTATGTGTAGAGATTGAAGTAAACTACTAAGAATAATTCTTCAATAAACTTGGTTAAAATAATGTTATTCTAAACGCCTCGCACAACGAAATTAGTTGTACGAGCTATTTGGGGTAATTGAAATCAATATATCTTTATTGACCAAAGTGTTGTAGGACAATGGAGTTAATAATTGTTTTAGAAATTCTTGCCCAATGGGTTCTCAAAGTATGCCCAGAGTAATAGACAGGTAGGTCTCTTACAGAGTTTGAAACCACTTTTGAAAAGCTTCTGTAGTGGATTCCTATCTTCATTCAAGAATACAACTCAAATGCGCCTGCCCATACTTCCAGCGCCCAAAAGTCTCAAACCCATCATTTCTTAAACACCAAAGCTTCAGCAGCCTCAAACTCCACCGCCGTCATCTTCTTCAAAGCCTCATCCATAATCCCATGCACATCTTCTCCCACAGTAGCCTTAAGCTCAACAATCCTACGTTTCCAAAACCCCCACCTCTCCATCGAAAACCCCACATTCCCAGAAAAAGCCTCACCAGGACCATACGGAGTCCCATCATTCCCTCCATTCGGATGATCACCACAACTATTATGCAAGCAAGCCACGAGCAACATCTTCGTCCCTTGAACGATCCACTCACACGCAACCTTGACTCTCATGTCGACGACCTCATTCGGAGCATGATTATCTTTGTTCTTTTCATCCTGCGACGGCGTTTCGAGCGCACGTCTCAGTTCCCAGAGTGCGAAGTTGGCAAAGACGTTTGGGATGGGTTCTCCAGGGACGGCTTGGGAAAGATTGGTTTCGAAACATTTTGCGATGAAGGAGTTGAGGTTTAGCCATTGGTTGAGGTTTAGCTGGTTTTCATCCTTGTGGGCGGGTTCGGTTTCGTAGATTGGACCTGTGTTCTAGTTAATAACGAAGAAGAGCTCTGGGAGTGGAAATACAGACCCTCATTCCAAATTTCCCTTGTAAGCATTCCGAACTCTCCCATATCCCACGCTTCACCCGCCTGTTGGAGCAAAGGCAGGGCGTGCTGAAGAATATCTTGAGCGTGATGGCCGCCTGGGATGCATGTAGAGATCAACAAAATTGCATCATAGGTTTGTTGTGCGAACGTTATTTGTGACGCATTGTAAAGATGTCCAGTTTCCTTGAATGACTTGAGAATTGGTGTTACGAAGTTCTGGGTCTGTTGTTCGATATTGGGAGTTGACGAGGATTTGAGGGCTTTTTCTAAGAGTCCTAGTGTATCATGTTGAACATCTCCTTGTAGGCCTTTAATCTCATCCTGGAGGATGGAGAAGTTGGGTGCTTGGACAGACATGGTGATGGAACAAACGTGTGAGAGAGGATGGGTGTTGATTGAAAATGAGAGGAAGTATGGCAGAGAGACAGAAGTCTTACATCCTTTCTCAATCAAAACCCCATGTTTTAAGGGGATATCGTTCTTTTGACAGTTTAGATGGAATGTTAGGAGGTGCGCAAACAAAGAATAAATGGATAAGTCAACCACTTTCCAAGCCTCTAGCGCAGTAATATGCGCCTAATTTGATGGTCTCTCAGATAGAACATGGCTATGTTTTGGTTATGTTATGTCCATCTGTGCTATGGTAACCCTGAAAGTTGGATTTCGTCATATCATTGATTGAGGAAGTGGATAAGCTTTTATTATAGCTTTGTACGGTTTGGAATGTGGAATATATAAGGAATGTGGGTTTAATTAACAAAGAACTGGTCTATAGAAAAGATTGAAAAGAAGTAAAAGAGACTTCAAAGGGGGATGTAGTAGAGCGAGAGCTGTTCACCGCCATAAACGGCAGAACAATCTGGGATTAGCTTGAGAGAACCTGCCTGACGTTATGATTTACCTTTTTTTGATTGGTCTAGGTCTTAAGCGTTATTCACTTTCTAGCGAAGGGTGTAAGACTTACTTAAATTAAAAATTGACTCTTAGATCACTTCAAAAGAGACGATTTTGTCAGTAGTGAAAATTGATCACACAGTACATGGTAACCAATAATGTATAGCAACTGATCAGCAGTCCAGAGTATCAATTATATAGATGATATGATGCAATAGCAAACATCAAGATACAGCCACTTTTCGAAACCCAACAATCCTTTATATTTCGCATTTCTTGCTTCTTACCAAGCTTCTGAACGAGTGACATGACACTCCAACCCCTTTGTGTAAGAGCCTTTTTCCATGAAGATACTATCAAATACCAGCAGTGCGGCAAGTCACTCACAACCTTGAGCCTCCTCATCAATGGCCCCTAAAACAAGCGAGCTATGTCGTCAAGCCTAATCGCCGCTTCTTGCGCATCAAATCAATACCCTCTTGTTAACTTATCTGATAGAAGTATCAACATGTAACAATCAATACCTCCTCTAGACCCCTTCTGAGCTATTATGTACTTACCGTTCAGATGAGACAAACCGTTAAGGATCAAGCGAGAACAACTCCGTATTTTGGTCTTAGCTGCGGTCTTATATTTTGTCTGAGATCACAACCTGTTTCTAAGTGATATAAGACATTAGATTTGTTCTGAGTACTCTCCACACGGGTCAGTGTTTTGTTCAATCCCAGGTACTTGTATATATCTTGAGTTGTCGTCCGGGAAAGAACTACAAATTGATCAGCCACTTCCTTACCTTCCACATCTTTTCCCAAGCCATTCTATCTTTGACTTTCACTGTTTCAAGGACAGCAGCCAGCTCCTTTCCATATTCATATCTCTTTCTTATCTCGTTTCAGGATTCTCTTTCACTCCGTTACAGGACTTCAACTCCCAAAACATCAATCATGCCTTTCTCTAGACACCCATCTCAACACTCCAGAGAATCATCCAGGAATCCAAGGGACTCATACATCCGCTCATCACCCAGCATCCAGAACTCCCCCCCACCAACACAATACCCAACAAACAGTTCCCTAGTAAAACCCCCTTACCCACCCCATCCCACCCAAAAACCCACTAACACACCACCGCAGTACTCCCTCTCCCACCTATCCGCCCGCAACCCGCACCGCTACCTCCACGCATCCTCCGTACGCCGTCAAGTCGCCTCAGCACCTAGCGAACCACTTCAATCCACACAATCCCAATCAACACGATCTCGATATCCCAAACCCTTCCGGAACAACGAGAACCTACCTCTGCAGGAGCCTTGGAGATCTCACGAGGAATACCCCATCGTCTACGAACATGGGGAGAATTATACGGATGCGGATGGACAGGCACCCGGGCCTGTACGTGCAGTCTATCACCATGGAGATAGAAGCAAGGTTGATGTCGTTTATCATGATGTGAAGATATCGAGGAATATGAGTATCAATATGCGTTTTGCGGAATATAGAGCTTCGAGACGGTGATGGGAAAGTTCTTGGTTTGTATGTTGGGTTTTGATGATGGAGTTAAGGGTGGTTAGAGTGTTTTCTACAGTACTGTGCTTTAGATGTTTGTTGGGCTTGGGAGTTGTGTTATTCTTTTTTTGGTAGATTTGTTGGGTTTTAGTTGAAAGTATCTATTTGAAGAGGTCGGCGTTTTGAATTCGATATTTACAAGCTTGGTCAAAAGGCTGAGTAGTGTGATGTTTTCCTAGCCTTTCTAACTGTCGATTTTTCGTCTATGTAATACTAGTAACGAACATGTCCAGCGTATTGGATAAGTAGAGTAGAGTAGAGTAGAGTAGAGTACAGGCACCTACTGAACTCTACTCAAGTAGTTAACTGTTAAACCTACAACTCTAACAATCAACTTACTTAGTTAGACTATATACAAAAACATACTCTAATCTAATCAAGTACAGTACAACCCATGCACACTTAATTAGCCAAGTATTCTTCCATACCCCAAATCCACACCCCAAAAAAAGAACAACCCCTTCCCCCAGCATAACATTCTTCCAAACCCCATAATCCTTCTATCCATCCCCCCATCCATCCATCCCCAAAACCATAAAACCCATCAAACAACCCATCTCCACAATCCCCTTCCCTTCAATTCACCACCATACCCTCTCCCCTTCCCTCCCAACCCAACTCAACACCACTTCACTCGTGTCTTCGTCCTCATTCCCGTCCCATCAACAACAAATCCCTCCAACACCCCTAAACATCCCTAACCCCAAGACCTCACACACCACACTATTCCCTACCCATTCCCCATTCCCATCCCCACTCCCCAAATCCGTCACCCTCAAAGAGTAACACAGTACATACCCCTCACCTCTCACTTAGACTGATCTCCGTCTCCATTCCTCCTCGATACAAAAAGAATATATATACTGTACTGTACTGTACTGCACTGTACTGTACTGTACTGTACTGCACTGTACTGTACTGTACCTAGGAACACCCTTCGGTACGTTCCCGTACGATTTATAGGATGAAAGGTATACATGCGGATTGCTAAGAATTTCTTAGGAGGGGGAGTGGAGGTATTAATAGTGAGAAAGATAGATAGAAAGAAAGAGAGAAGGTTATTGAGAAGGTGGCAGGCAAGGGGCGGACATTCAAGGAAAATAGAGAGGGAGGGAGAGAGAGAGAAGACCAGATCATACAGTACACATACACCAGCAACCACTCAATCACTATCGCAAGAAAACCTTTCAAAGGGAAAAAAAGAATCAACTTAAACTGAATATCAAAAAAAGAAAGTATCAAAACAACGGAATCAAGGTCCACCCCCTTTTAAAACTACTACTACTAAAAACTCATTCGTCATAAACTGTTCACCCCATCCGACCCGTCCGAATCATCAATGTAAAAACCTAACCTGAACCCGATTTTCCTCATGAAAGGTCCAGATCAATTCATATGCAAGCTCATATGCAATCCCAATTTCAATACCCACGTTTCCAACACGCCACGCTTTGCTCTTGAGACTACAAGATGATATGGAAAGGGAAAAGAATTACGCCAAGAACGACCCCCAATGCATTCACGATTGCAAAACATAAACACATCAACCAACCAAGAACGAAAATACCATCCCAGAATTGAAACAACAATTATGTATCCCGTCCCAGAAAGTTTGTAAGAGAAAAGAAAATATCAAATCAAACACATCATGAATCGTGTTTGGCCCTCTTGGCATCACCTCCATCACTCCCCTCAGCATCAGGTGTCTTGCGCTTGTTTGTATTGGCTCTATCCCCGGAGTCCTCTCGCAAGAAGCTCGGCCCGGTGCCAACTACTGGAGTTGCGAAATTCAGAGGACTTGGAAGCGTATTACTGTCGCTGCCTCTAAAATTCCACTCCGGGTAGAAGCTGCTTGGGCTAGGAAGAAACTCATTTGTCATGAATCGGCTGGGAAGGGCCGAAACAGGCGTATCAATAATGTTACCGCTCGTATTGGAATTCTGTGACGGTTGGGAGACAGGGTGAGGTCGGGCAAAGGGATTTGGCGGTCCAGAAGCCCCTGCCGATAACAATGCAGATGCAGATGGTGAAGGGGGCGGCAGAACTACCCCAGAGTGGCCATCCGCGTTATGCCCATTTTGCTGAGGATTGGTACTGGTTGGATTTCCAGATGGTGGACTAGTAGCGGACCCAGTGTTGCTCCCATTGTCCGAATCCCCTTCTGGAATTTGCACCTTCAGGACCGGTCTCTTTGCACCTCCTAATTGAGCCGAATTTGTTCGAGATGGTGGTGTAAAGCCATCCGTGGAATTCGTCGAAGAGCTCTTGGTATGCGTATTCGCCCTAACAGGAGCAGGAGGTGGAGGGGAGCGAGAAACAGTGGCCACATCTATAGAATGCGGCCTATTCGTAGTAGGTGCTGGTTCACTCCTCCCTGCTTCAGCATTTGAAGTTGAAGTTGCCCAGTGTTGAGACAATATAGATCGCCCCTCATCGATTGGAGTGAAAATACTTCTCGACTTAATAGACAAGCGTTTGACTGGTTCCGCCATTTGAGGCATCGGCTGTGGCTCTTGTTGTTCCTGTTTGACCTTTGGGAGCTGCTGCTGAGGTGGGGGAGGGGGTGGCTGATGAGGGACTTGCTGAGGCTGAGGTTGTGGCGGAGAAACACTTGGTCGAGATGGAGGTCTATCTTGCTGCTGCTGCTGAGCGAAATTTGGTGGTGGGACTGAGGATCTTCGCTGTTCTTCTATGTAGATTTGTTGCATTTGCTGTGGATGCTGCTGCTGTGGAGGTGGACCATAATTTGGATATTGTGGGCCGGGTCCTTGTTGAGGCATTACTTGAGGCGGTGCTTGCATTTGTGGTCCTTGATGTTGTTGCATATGCGGTGGAAGAGCGTGATGGGGAGGTCCTGGCGGTCCATTCTGAGGTTGATACATGGGAGGGTTTGGCATATACGCGAATCCATTGGGCTGTGGGTGAGGCTGCTGGTGCTGAGGAACCAGATTTGAACTCTGTCTTCTTGGAAGAGGGCCATTTCTGGATGAAGGACGAGAACCAGGTTGCGGAGTATGCTGACGTTGGTGTGGAAACACTCCATTGGGAATTGGAGGTGAGGCAGAAGGTGTCTGGTGTCTGATTTGGTGGAAAGGCTGTGGATATGGGTGAGCAGGCATCATTTGTGGTTCGACGGAGCCGTGGTGCGAAGGACCAGATCCGTCATCATCATCGTCGTCGTCCATATCCTTTCCTTTGCCATTGAAATCTGCGGGTCCTTTATGCTCATTGGGGCCTCCATACTATAAAAGTTAGTCGCAATGTTATGAATGTGGGCATTGAGCGCGTACGTATTGGTATCTCGTCAAAATCTCTCCAATGTCGCTACTCGAGTATTCGTAGAGCTTCTTGTTGTTGCCAAATATTATGACTGCGACATCTACGGAGCAGAGGACGGAAAGCTCATGCGCCTTCTTGAATAAACCGCCTTTACGCTTGAGGAATGTGCTATTTCACGAGTTAGGTTTGGCTCATTATCAGTCTTGCGCAAATGGAAAAACTCACACAGAGCGGTTCCTGTCATCCTTGATGGCCTTGATTTCAATCTTTCTTCGTCCCATTGCGGCGACGCGCCGAGTCTGCGGAAGGTAGGAGGGTTCTACGAATGGATCCAGCGCCTCGGCCTTTGTCGTGGGATTTGAGGTTACGAGTAGTTGTTGTCAAAATTGGGATGGGAACACGGCTGGAGCTATCGCTGACGGCTGCTGTCTGGTTCGAAGATGGGCGCACGATGGCCAAAGATCCAACTGACTTTGTTATGAAACTAGAATACAACGAGCGCGACGAGTCGTCAAGAGAGCGCGCACGCGCAGCAGTGGTGAAGGAATGTTGCCGTCGAGGTGTCAACGTGGTGTGGTGAATTATTTTTGGATGTGGAAGTGGGTGCTCGCAAGAGACGATGCGGCTGAAGTTGAGGTGACAAGAAAGAGAGAAGCTCGTCGAGATAATATGAGAGAGAGTGTGCGATGTGATGCAATTTGCGACCGACCGAGGTGGAACAGTCTGCTGGAGAAAGGACGATGAAACACAAACAGAGAGATGGTGATACAACGGGGTCTTGCCGGGTGCAATTGACCTTGGGCCACGGGGGAAGCAGTGAAGATATAGTGGTTGGGTGTTGAGGTTGGGTTTTTGGCTGGTTTGCGATGGGCCAGGAGCAGGGTCGATGACTTTTTTTTTTGTGGTGGTGGTGGTGATGGTGGACGATAAACTGATAGACGATCGGATGTGATGCGTGATGCGTGGTGGGTGATGCTAAATATAGAGAGAGCTTCGAGGGAGGAGATGGGGTTGGGTTGGTTTGGTTTAGGTTGGGGCAGTTGGCTCTGGAGAAAGAAGCGGAGCGAACAAAGGCAGAAGTGAGGGTGGGTGACGGGTACCGCTGGATGGGCATTGGCAGACGGGGCGGGCGAGGGGCCTGGCCTGGAAAGCGCGCTAGCCTACTGTAGCAGCGAAGTCGAAGGAGGTGTTGAATGTGTGTGGGAGTGTGAGAGAGCCGAACTCTAAGGAAATCTCAGAGCATATTGGTCTAGTCTGTACCGAGTACGGAGGACGCTGTGGGCGTCGCCATGGGCGTAGCAGGGGGGCTCGGGGGGACGAACGAGGCCTTGTCCATCGGACATCGTTTACACACCAATCACATCCATCATATCCGCCCAAACACTGGGGCATCTGGCGTACTGCCTTGGCCACGCAGTTTTGGGGATCTTTCGGTGAGTTTACATCTGCATCCATCTGCTCTGAGGTGCTTGAGCATGGAGCCTGGAGCCTTGAATGCTTGCTGCTCTTCCCAAGCCAGGTGCCGCAGAGCAGTGTCTTGGTCAGAGACATCCCAGTGCGTGCAAAGACTCGGCCGTCCTCGAAACTTTGGCCTTCCGGATTTTTACAAGCGAGAGACACCGGACGACATCTGTACCAGTACCAGTACCTCCTTCGCTTCGTACCTAGGTACTACCCGTGTGGCTCTTCTACCGGTAGAGAGGTACGACCGCTATCAATATTGGACAAACGTACGTAGGTACCTTCAGGTACACCGCCTCTCTTCAACACACCAGGAATAGTCCCCATCACCGTTTTTGACGCTGCACTGCTCGTCGAGATGTCTGTTCCTCTCCCCAGAAAGAGGACCAGGTGACGATACGAGCATTCCATTCTTTGCTGCTCATTACGTGCTTCTCCCCTACGTCCAATCCATGTCCCTGTTTGGACCAAGGCTTTGGAAGCATCTCTGAGGCGCAAAACACTTTATGGAAGCTTCTTCACGGGTTCCCGGCACTCAATCAACGTACGTCCAAGTAAATCAGAAGTGTCCCTTGTCTATCCCCGATTACCATTATCTTCGTTTGAACGACAGCTGACCTACGCTGGCATGCCGTTCAGCCAGTTGGTATCCAAGTTCAAGTCTACTTCCACAATACTTCCCCCAACATGGTTTAATCGAAACTTCTCACAGCACGCTGCGTGAGGGTTGGCGTCCGATTCGTCGGGGGAGGGAGGGGTTAGATTCATTGCGAGTGGTCACTTCTACAATACTGATCGGCCTTACATCTGCAGCCAACACCTGGGTTCGTCGCTGACCACACTGCGCATCAACTACCGGGGGTCTCTGCAACAATGGTCCTAAAATAGACCATATTCGGGTCATTTAGCCAACATCTCTCCATCTTTGCCATCAATTGACCCTCCGTGGCTCATATTACCAACAAAACATTCAGCTTTGACGGTTAATTAACCCGCATCTTCATCCCAATCCAGGTCTTTTGATCTGGTGCACAAGCCACCATGCGGTTGAGAAATCATCATCCCTCCTATTTCCCCAGATGTTCTTCGCTAAAGCACGACCTCGCCCGGTCTTGCTCTGTTAGTCCTCACTATCAAATCGGTGGCTCCCTATGACAGCTTAAACATTCCGGATTGGCGCCTTTCCCTTTCGTTTTCTAGAAATCCTTGGCAAATATCGTCTCCACTAATGTTTAAAGACATAGTTCTTGTTCTATTCTTATTCATGCACACACACTGGGTCCAAAATGTGCAGGTACAATTCTGCAGTCTCAACCGTCTCATCGCGCCTTGGTGACGTGATATGGGTAACTCAAAAAATCGGCAGATAAACGTGGGGGGTAGAAGATATCTGTTATCACCAAGGAGTAGGTATTTGGGTAGGTTGGGTTTAGGTTTACGGGGTTGCAAGTCAGGTTTACGATGGCGAGATTCAGTCCGAAGGTGGATTTCTAACTTGGTCCAGATGATCAAACTTGTGTAAATCAAACCACTCGAAAATATCTGAAACGCAAAGCAACGCTTGTTTTTAAGGTTCATGTGTAGGAGAGCCTCAACGCGATATTCGCTCGAGTGACATGCCATCCTTACCCGCGTTGAGGCTCTTTGAGTCAATTTTTAGAAGTGGATATTCAGCGGGAGCTACGGGAGAAAAAGTCCGTCTGCCGAATCTCACCAAGCGACCAAGATGAATGGTCCGATTGCTCGCCGAAGACGACATCAGCGTACCGTTGAAGAAGTTGGCGTCAGCGTTAATCGATTAGAAACGCCCATATTCAGGGACGAAGAGGCGTGTGATGGACTCGTCCACGGCCAAGCAGCATAGGCGTCTCGGTGGTTGGAGGAGTGATCTTCTCGAAACGAAGCTATCGACTAGTCATCCAGCTTTCCCTAGCACAAGGACCCAACTCATGAACACCAAGAAACACAACATCATCTCATCATGAAATGTCAAGATCGTGATGTAGGTATTGGATGGATCTCTCTGGTGTAGCGAGGTTGAGTGCACAGAACTAGCCAGGGCTCAGGTCCGGTGTCTCGATTCGGTAGGTACGGCGGTACTCGACTCGCTCAAGTAGAAGTACATGAAGAACACCACAGACAGCCCTAGACCTACAGTACCTCCGCAGCTTGACCAACCTCCATCCCGCCAAAAGGCCACCACCGCAGCCTTGCACAACGACCCTGAAAACCCACGCCTACTCTTAGGACCTTTTTCATTTCTTCATGAAATTCTCCGGAGCATAGGGATCAACAAGAATTCCTCCAAAGAGCAATGGCATGCAACAACCCACTACGATAACTCCCACTTAAAGGCAGGAACCGCCCCGGCGAGTCCTCATCATTTCTAAGAATCCGAAGACACTAGATTCTTATTTCCCTTGCCCGTCCCCGTCTGACGGACTTTGCCAATTCATCAACACAACACCAAAAAATCGCCTCGTCTCTTCTACCCTGGTCACCGCACGCATGCACGTACCGCGATGAGGCTCCAGCCCTGCCCAGCCCTGCTCAGTATCACCCGCATACGCTAACGCATCCCATCCATCCTATAAATATCTATAAATAGGCTTCTGAACGGTACGGTCCACAAACCCCACCTGCACCACATCACGACACCAAAATTCCCATCTCGACAGCATTTAACTCGTGCTTTCGATTCTTTGGACCGGAGGATTGTCCTCGCTCCAAGATCTTCTGCTTACATTACTCTACTACACAGTTCAGTACCTTCGATCCCTTTCGGACAAATTGCTGAAAGGGGTTTCTTACGAGTGAAAATCGAAATCCCGGGTCAAAACCCCGCATCGTCACTCAAGATGGCGTTGTACAGTAGGTACGAGTAAATTGACATGGACTCAGCTCCGCCCTACCAGCCCACCAAGTAACTCAACCGTTGCTATCCCCCTCCATTCGCTAGCGGTTAGCTATTGCCGTGCATGCAACACATCCCAGTTTACCCTTCGCGCTTCCCAGTGACTCGTCTCTTCCCTCTTCTTCACTGCCGAACAATTCCATCTCGCTCTCTCGCTTTCCCCATTTTCCAAAATAGAAGCCTTTCTGAGCTATCACCCTATTCGAGTGCCTCGCTTTGTTGTCGTTTTTTTCCTTCATTATTGTGGAGAGCCAGCCAGTCTTGGGTCTTTCTAATCTGCAGCCCTATGGATATTACCGTCAATGCTACCGTCACCGTGCCGGTCCAAAAATCTAAGATTTGTGAGGCGAAGAAGAATAGAGTTTTATATCGCACCCTACCGAGAGAATTTTTTGTTTTTTTTGTTTTTGGCTTTGGCCCGGCTGTGTGGAGTGTGTTGTGGGTTGGTGGGGTTGCGCTTAGATTTACCTTTTTTCTATATTTATATTTATATTTGGATGAGGGGATGACGATCTCGGAGATTTTTTGGGGGGTTTGGGTTTTTTGGTTTTTTGGGGGTGAAGGTACCGGTACGGAGGGTACGAGGAGAGGGATCATGCGGATCTATCATATCATATCATGTTTGTGAGTGTGTAAATGTGGTTTTTGGGTTTGTTGGTGGTGTGGCTTGGTGGGTAGATTTGTTTAGGTTACAGTACGTTGTTGTCTACCTATAGTTGAATTACATAAAGGGGGTGCATGGACAGTTAAAGCTGGACACTGTCACTGATCCTAAGGTAGTAAATTTCTGTCTCGATCGGCCCCGATATTTTTAGCCAAACCAGCGAGCGAATCAAAGACTCGGATTTGCAAGATATAGACTTTTTTCATATATGGATCTACGTGATAGTGTCTACTGTGGCAGTGACGGTAGGTACTGTCCACCTCATTTACGTTGAATTACGGTGTTGTCTAGTTAAACATAGCTACTGTATAGTGAATTCAAAGAAAATCGGTCTTTTGGATTTTATAAGTTAGGGTTTGGAGATCTTATTGTATGTACTACTAGGTTACATTAGACCTTATGCAAGATTTGAAGGAAAGAGTAAGGGAATTGTAGAACGTCGATTTTCTTGTTAAATTGTTAATTATAATTACTCGGTACATTATTTACAACGTGGAATAACGACTTAACACGAGTAGCCCAATTAATCGTAGAGTTTCTTTTGTAAATTGTAAATTGTAAGACGAGTCTGGGCGCGCTTTCGTTGTCAAGTAAGTCTCTTGATCGTGAGGGCTTGGGTATTGTATGCACTGTACTTACCTCTGATGGAAATTTTATATTCCCTCTCCCCCACCTTCTCTCTCTCCATCTCTCTCATCCTTTGATTCCTTTCCTATTCTTTTCCTATCCTAACATGAAAATCAAGAAATCAAGAAACTAAAAACCTTTTTAGTATTATAGCTATAAATCATAGTCTAACCGTAGATAGATTGATAGACTATCTAGATATCATATTATATTACATAATATCTCGCTTTTCGATTTTCGATTCTTAGATATATAGAACGTAGTCTTAATATCGCGCTAATTTAAGAGTTTTCCCTGTCAATCCTAGCTTTTAATTTATAGGTAGATTAGATATACGACCTTCTTATCCTATCTAGTTTTTTCGTTACTGTCGTGATACTGTTCCTAGCCTAATTAGTAAATTTCTTTCTTATAAATGGCTGATGGATAGAATTGTGAATTTGAGAGAGTTGTGTAGTACGTATTATACATATATATAGTATGGAGTTAGGGGGTTATATATTTTTTGTTTGAGGTAGGATTATTATACATATATATACGAACCTACTCACCTCCCTATCCACCCCTCTTAGATCCCTCTTTTTACACAAACACCTTCGAAGCCCTCTGTTCAACAAGAACCCCAACCATCCACCCCTCATCCTCACTCCCGCGTTCATCCTCACCTAATACCCTTATCCAAAAATCTATTTTCTCCTTACTGTACTCTAATTCTGATTTTGATTCTATGCTATGCTATGCGCCATACGTCGCACGCTACCCGCTACCCGCACTTACGGTATGCTTTACCTAGCGCACAGAGTGTTACTACTCCTATGACCCCTTTCTTACCCTTTGCTCCTTGTGGGTGGTTTGAAATTGAGGTAGGGATTGGTGGTATGGAATGGAGAGTGTAAGTATATGTGTAAGAGTACGTGGATAGGGAGGTGCGGGGTTTGAGGCTGGATTTTTCTAAGTTTAGGTTTTTGAGTTGAGAGATGGGATTTCAATGTTTTGAGGGGGGAAGGGGGGAAGGGGTATATGATGAGTTGCTGGGGGGTTTGTAGGTGGGTTGTGATAAGATTAGGGGCTTGAAATGGTTGGGGTGATTGTGTTAGTGTAGAAAATTCAGACTTCTGATTGTTTGTCCCGTTATATTACTGTTTATTCCAGATAGATATTCTTCCTTTATATTTAAAAAACATTATACTGCGTATAGCAATATCTAAGAATTAGCTATAGCTAGAATATTTAACTAGCTTACTCTATTTACTTTTACTCTACGCGTTAATTTGTATTAATTTAGACAGAGGGAGGGTTGAGATATACTTTAGATAGATTTATTTATTTATAACGATAACTATAACCCTCTCGTAGCGAGATTTAGAGGTAGAAGTTATTACGTAGTCGACATTATCGAAGGGTATCTCGTCTTCTGCTTGAATAAAAGTGGATTATAATAATGTAATTTGAATTTGTAGGCGCACTTTATTTCCCATGCGATGCCTTGAGATATTTCTCGAGTTTCTGAAGGGATAGGGAAGGTAGAGGTAGCGAGTAATAATTAGCAAGTAGAAGAGAGAACTTAGTCTTATAAACGTTTAGAATTCTATATTATCTAAATCCTGTTAGAATCCCTTTAAATAAAATGGAATATTCTATAAAGAGGCTACACACTCTCTCTTCTAGAACCCATACGAATATACGAAGACTATATTCAGTATTCGGGCCTAAGAAGCCAAGCCAACAAGTTCTATAGAATTAGAATTCTCGGAAATAAAACTTACCGTGAATCTTACTAGCTTTTCAACTAATCAGAGGATAGGATTTAAGATATCGTAAGGTATAGTATAGATATTTATAGAATTCCTTGTTTTATTACTTCTATAATAGCTCCAATACTTTCCTCGCTTATATGGAAAGCCTAAAGGCGCTTTAAGATAGGTTAGTCAGTTAAAGGGTTAATGACAAGCTATAAGGTTTAATCTCATAGCATTTCTTTATATTGATAATTAGTCTATCGGCTAGAAAAATTATTTCACTAATTATGGAACGCGGCTTCATGGAGATTCTATAGAATAGTAGGTCTGTAATTTGATATTTCTAGACCTCTATCCCTTCCAGAGTGTAAAGTGCTAAAAGAAACGTGTACTCAAAGTGGATGCGATGAATGGGCCAAAGACTCAAATTGGGGCTCAACTGCTTAGAAACGTGGCCTGGTTGGCCAAACGACCTGGTTTTACGGGGAAGGGGTTACAAAAGTGGCAACCTTTACTCCACTTCAAGTGCACGTTTTCTTAGCACTTTGCACTCTGGAAGGGATACAAAACAGAATGGATTGGCAATCATTGGAACGGAATTTCAAATGCCGATCGTTAGTACTAGCGAGTGGTTGGAAGTTGCCTTTCGCTTTCTTTTGGGGATTACTTGGAATATGTAAGAGGTTTGCTTAGCTATGCCCTGTGAGCTGTTGAAAACAGCATGGCCGTTCTGGATATTGTATCTTGAGGTTTTTGTGAGTCTTGATGGCTGGTGATAAGCTATACTTGGTGTTATAATAAGCAGATATTTAAGGGTGTTATGGTGGAATAGTAATCTTTCAAGGAAGTTTAGGAATTTGACTATAACACGAAATAACTCCAAATTATTCCAACGAAGCATGAGACCTTGAAGAAACCTTTCACATTTTTGCATCACTTTTCATGTTTGACGCGAACAGAAGAACTGTAAAATATTTTCTAAAACCATCGAAGAACAACTTTTAGTAGGGGGGTTTTTCGAAGGAGAACCTTTTAAGACGGAAGTGTGTAAGTCTTCGTGAAGCAGCAATGAGGGTTCGAAAGCACTGTGACAATTTGCACCAACTTGCTTCCTTGTCCCGCTTGCCGTTTTACTCCATAAAATGCCGAACGAGTCTCAAAGACGTGTCGAACTATGATAAGAAGGTATGTGGAAGAGAGATCTTGAGAACTAGAATGTTTTGATATGCGTCCGGTTCATGAGTTAGTGACAGGGTTACCGCTTGATGGTTGACCATTTGAAGTTTCGTGGAGATCACTCAGTTCTTCCAAGCCAGGTGTTGAACTCATCGCGTCTTGATCATCGGAAATACTGTCTTCTGCTGTCTTGAGGACTGATTGGAGATACTTGTACCCAGGGGCGTCTCTTGGAGAAGGTGTTGAAGTTTCAGTTTCAGTTTGGTTGATTGACGGTGCGGTTCTAGATCCATATTTGTAGAGATTTTGTAAGGCGATCAGACTCTCTATGTTTTCAGGAGTTGCTAGATTTATTGGAGGGGTGGAAGCGAGATGGGCTTTTGACCGCGAGGGAGATACGGGGGATCGTCGGCGGACGGAAGGTGTTGAATGAATGGTATCTTTCCAACGGATGGGACTTGCTGATAGGATGGGACTTGTTGGGATAGTTGAACTTGTAGGGGTTGGAGGGCTGGATTGAGCTTCTGGGGCTTCTGGAGCTTCAGGCATCAAGTCAGTAACTGTTGAAGATTTTAGAGTCAGCGTTGGTATTCTGGGTATCTCAACACAATTTATGGAGACTTAATCCTCAAACGAAAAAGAAACGGGGGCATGAAATCGAGGACTAGGATAATACTCACGGTAGCTTGGAAGTGACTGGTTTTCTAAAGAAGGGAGCTTTTCTCCGCGTTCGACTCCAACCACAAAAATCGATGTTTTTGTCTCATCACGGAGTCGATGGAAGACTTCATCTTCAAAATCATCATTCATCAGACATCTAACCTGACTTTCTCCCCCGTATAAGATGACAATGAAGCGGACCCGAAGGCCATAGTGAGATAGTCGAAGTTGCAGACGTATGGAGTCTCGTAGTTCGCTCAGGACTTCGGTTCCAAAATCGTGTTTGATCCATCCATAATGGAATCCTTCACTATATGAGTCCGCTGGACCACCGATGTAATAGCAATTATATTGAATTGCTCGGACTCCGGGTTGTGTGGGTGGTTCAACCTAATTGACTTAGACTACCATTCCTCGCGCGGAAAATTGATTAAGATAGAAGGGGAAACGAACCTTTTCTGGTGAGTGCCAGTTGCCAGGCCCTCCTTGACTCTCGATGGAACCCATCTTCTCTTTCCTTGACTTCTCGATGTGACGAGAGATGTATACAGTGACTGAATGAATGAGGCGGCGGATTCCGTGAGCAATTGATGCTGAAGAACTTACTCGTCAAAAGTAAATGGTTGTGAAGTGTTTGCTTTTGAGACTTAAGTACTGGAGTGTTTTACTTCAAAAATCTAGGATGGACGAAGCTGAAACTGTGACTTGCTAGGAAGATCTTCACGTCGAATGTAATAGAGACAGGCCCACATGCATTCGTAGTGGAAGGCTTGTAAGGCACTATGTTCCTAAATAACCCGGATTTCTATAATACTGTGAGATTCCAAATTGTGAAAGTGAAGGTTATCAGATTTTAGCCATTTGGTGCCTGGCTTCGAATTTGGTCAATGTTTGTTGACGAAAATAACAGAGGGTTTGTATTTTATAATGGGAGATCATCAGTCAATCATGAGAAGTAAGTTTTAACTTAAGCTTTGATATCCAATTCATGTAGTGGTGATCACTCGATTAACAAAATCACAGGGCCTCTTTGAGTTCAGTAGAGTTTATTGATTATTTTTGCGACTATCTAGACGATGATTCATTATTTCCTATAATCGTTTGAGAACTTTTATTATGAGATTTACTCTTAAGAGTACGTATTCATACCGTGGCGGCTTTCTAGTTTAGAATGTTATACTTTGCTAGGAAATACTTTATAATATCGATAGTTTTACTTATCTCTTATGAAATTAGTCACTATAGTATCGGTGCTATATATTCTAAAGTTGAAAAGCATGCAAAGACAGTCAGGATACGAATCTATAATGGATGTCAGGATATCGTACTATATATCAAGGTGTTTACCGAAACACACTGACTATATATGAAGGGGGGGTTGCATATGGAGATCTATAACTTACACGCTCGCTTACCTCGACCCTCAAAAAGTTATCTCTGTCGCTCTTTACGATCACACTACTATAATCACAAGTATGCTTCTAGGAGACGGCTGTAAATGTAGTACTATCCGCTACGAAATAGACATTACGTCTTGGAGGAATGTCCCCCCCCCCTTTTATAGTACTCGATATACGAAAATTCATTTCATCTACCGATTGCCTATTTTGATCACTGTTATAAATCTCATCGCGCCAACCGTGTCTCTGTTCAATGGCTATCTACGGCCCGATTGCCGCGGTAACTGTATTATCTCACTCTACGGATTGAAGCAATTCTTTCTCAGAATACATCGAAAGTATCGGCCAAAAATGAATACAACGAAGAGAGAAGTCTAAAGCTTCCTAATAGATAGACATCTTGTCCTAGGTAAAGATCAAGACATAACGACCCTTTTATAACTTCCTAATTTGTCTGAAGGGGGAGAGGAGGTGGTTCTGTGGTCGTTTTGTTGCTCATTTGGCCTGCCTTGTATTTACAGTTCGAGAAAGATGGCCCTCCATGCTGCCCATAATGCTAGATATTGTTCTGGGGGTTCAACGGGTTGAGAAGATTTAGAAGGTGTTTCCTTGGAGGCGATGACCAACTGCGGCGTTGGTTACTTGCCAAACCATCCATCTTCCAAAGTAGGCGAGTTTGTATATGACTGGTGGTGTCTCTGGCCTATCAACAGCAGAATCCTGGTATGGAAATTTAAAAGGGGCTGTTTACTACAAGAACTACAGTGCAATCATTTCAAAAAGGCGTGACCTAACTATGTGGCAGAGCAATTTCCATTTGTCAATCAATTACAAGCATTATGACTAGACAATCGGCTAGACGACTTCCATATGATCATCTCCAAGCTCTAGCATAACTAAATTCTCATGCTTTCTCCAAACTCTCAATCCATTCATCAACCGTCAAGACCCGATTCGCAAAAAGCGGCCATATCAACTCTGTAGCAGCATCCTTCTGCTCAACACTAAAACCAGCCGTTGCATCCTTCAACAACGTAACATGAAATCCCCTACACAACACAATCCATCAGTATCCCAGCAAGCGCGAAGGAACCCCGCAAAACTCAAAACTCACAATTCATAAGCATATCTAGCCGTACTCTCTAAACAAGTATTCGCCGTCATCCCACCCATAACCAAATTCTGCACCCCCCTCTGTCGCAACTGGTACTCCAAATCCGTATTCTGGAACGAGGAACTACACCAATGTTTACTCAACACCACATCACCCTTCTCAATATCTGGTTCTAGATCGGTGTAGATCTCCACCCCCCAACTTCCTTCCTCGAAAGCGGAATGCTCCATTTGCGATTTTTGCGTGTTGGTGGGATGCGTCCAGCCGGCGATGAAGCTAGGTCGGACTTGTTGGTGGAGACCGTAGAAGATGGGGATTTGGTGGGTATGTGCGTATTTGACGAGGGTTTGGAGATGGGTGATGGAGTTTGTGGCTGCGAGGCTGGAGGCTAGCATGTGGTTTAGTTTTCCAGAGGGGTGGAGGAAGTCATTGTAGGGATCGATTAGGACGATGGCTGTGTTTGGTGGTGGAGTGGATGTCATATTGGCGAGGAGATTGGTATTGAGGACAATTTAAGATGTTGATGTGAAGGATATCTGCTGTATTGAAGTGAAGTGTGGTGTGATATATATACTTGCTGCTCAAAACATGTTTGCAACTCAAACATCTGAATATACCCCCAGTGAATTGAGACATCTGTCGCACAAGCGCGTGTAAGCAAGCTGCATGCGCCGACACATAAACACCGACGGAAGCAAACTGGAAGTGACCATTCAGCTTCTGGTAAATCCACATACTACGACCTAAGGCCCCAAATGACAGATCTACCAGCCAAGAAGTAAACACAACATCTGGATACCAAGGAGGGATGCTTAAGCCTTATGCAGTTACTGATCACACTTCTGCATATAGTCCCTAACTCCGAAAATAAGCGAAAAACTCATAAATCAAAATAAGCCCAAACCTTGGCCTATTCCAGCCATAAAGAAATACCAGCAATGCTGTGCTAACCCCGGCGGCTACTTTCCTTGATGAGGAAGACTTTTTGTCGTCTTTAACGTTGGCTATCTTACTTTTTCTTGCTTCGTTTTCTCCTGTCTTTATATCTCCTCCGTGGTCCTTGTCCCTTAGGGAGATATTTTCGTATTTGACGAGCCCCTGATTTAAAAACATCGCCTTTTATAGAGAACTAGGAGGATTCTACGTTCGGTGTTTTGAATTCAACGTGGTAAGAGAGGCCGTCATTTCTCTAAACACACCTAGTGTAGAATAACATTATCCTAAAACTCTCGTATAAGTGAGCACAATAGGTTATCAAGGTGTGTCTAGAGTAATGAACAGATCTCTCACTATATAATCAAGAAAATTCCAAGTTCCTCTTGACCTTTTTAAAAGTTATATAATACTGAGTAGAAGATCTTGATGGGTTTGGCTGAAACCCACTTCACGGGTCCTGAAAACATTCCTTGCGAGACGAGGGCGGAGGAGAGATATTTGTACTCATGAACGTATTTCATTTGAAAGTAAGCGAAGGGAAAGTTAAGCGAGTAGTAACAAAGTGGCGTTCACGCTCTGCAAAGCGGAAATCTCCTCTTAGCCTCTAGGAAGACTTCGAAAGACTTCACAGGATCTATGAAAAGCCCAAATACTTCTTACAAACACTTTGTAGTCCCCTCTATAAATACCCACTCCCCAAAGAGCGTCACATAGAAACAACCATACCTCTCCCCCCCCCCACAA